CAGACCTGAGCCAAAGTCATAGACTGTATTGAAAATGGCCACTATGACATTGCATAGTAGTCCGTAGATGATTGTATTCAAGTCTCAGGTTTGGCCAAATGTGGCAATATTTACAATATTTCTTCATATATTTATGATGGCTGAGCTTTGGCTTTATCAGTAAATACTAGTTTAGAGTGTTGTGTCCATCCATACATCCATCAATTGTGTCATAAAACGCGATGCTGACTTTAGCTAAAAAAAGAACAAACTTAAAACAAAAGCTGTTTACTGAAGTAACTAAACAGAAAAGAGTATATTTTAGTATATTTTTATCAAGATGGACTGTCAAATAACCTGTTTTGCGTGTGTTTATTTTGCTGTAGACTGTATTTTTAAAACAAGTCATTGTAATTAACTTGTTTTATAAATGTAGTCTGAATGTTTGTTTTATTTAAATAAAGGTTGAAAACTGAACAGAGGGTGAACATACTGAGCAGGTGATTATATGTCAGGGTTGTGTTTTTGTATCTGCTGCCCCCTAGTGGCCGAATTAAGTTGGGTCAAATAAAATGACTGTCAACCAATGAAACGTTAACAATTATCAGCTTGTTCACTGGGCCAGCTGAAACTGGCTAACCTGTGTTTTTGTGATTTTTTTTTTTATATCTAAAGATTTAGTGTAAGATTTCTTGAGCCTAACCAGGCTCCTCGTTCACACAGCACGTCTATACCGTAATTAATAGAGGTCTCTCTCTCTCTCTCTCTCTAGGACCCCGTATCACCTGCTGATTCCCCCAAGTCTTGACGTCAGCGCTATAAGCGATAGAGATCGCCGGTGTTCAGGGAATCCATCCTACCTGACAAACCATCCTACCCGTTGTTTCTACGCATGCGCACAACACGAAATTCAGTGGCGAAGCATCCTACCTCTGTGAATATGAGCTGGAAGCATAATTTTATCATCTTAGTTTTGTTAATAACAGCTACACACATACTCTGACGGATAAAATCACGTGCCAAACCAGGCTACCTTTGTGAATGTGACCTACAAGCATACTTTAACGGCTAAAATGAAGTGGCAAACCGTCCTGGCTTTATAATTATGAGCTACAAGCATCCTCTGATGGACAAAGTTAAGTGGCAAACCGTCATATCTAATTATATTTGTGCTGGAATGACTCTGTGACAGCAGACATGTGCATAAACTACTTACAGTAGGACGTTTTGCCAAAGTAGGACGTTTTGCCAAAGTAGGACGCTTTGTCAGAACCACTCGGCGGCGGCGGTTCCCACAGGCGCAGCGTCTGGCTGCAGTAACAACACTCTGCTGGGACTTGCCCGACCGACTTTCGCATACGACCTCCAAACAGCGTGAGGGAGGGATACATCAAAACATTCATAGCACACCCACACACACCCTCCCCTTGTTTCGAGCCCTCTTCGCCTCTCCAGTCCCGCCATGGCGTCTGCTGTACCCGAGACGGAGGGGTCAGCGCGAAGCTCCCCACTGACACCGCTGAAGCTTGTCGGGCTGGTGTGCGTCTTCCTGGCGCTTTGCTTGGACGTAGGAGCCGTGATGAGCCCGGCTTGGGTGACTGCCGACGACCAGTACTACCTGTCCTTGTGGGAGTCCTGCTGGAAGCCAACGAGTAGCGAGAACTGGCAGTGCAGCAGCACGCTGGACTCAGGTAATGGATGGAAGGGG